GAAGATTAGGAGTTGTATTTTGTTATCTTTTGTATCTTAGCCCATTTTGTTTGTAGTGTCTCAAAACTAGAATGTCGTGTATTTATTTTTGCAAGTCAAAGTCATGTATTATAAATCATAACTCTTGTTGGTATTTTGAAGGGAAGCGAGATTATGTAAATGCTTAAGTTGAATGGGATGACGATGATGGGCTAATTTGGGGAGGTTGTTGATATTGTAATATTGGGGAATGTATTATATATATATATATATATATATATTTTTTTTTTTTTTGTATTGTGTCTTGAGATAGGTTGGATAGATCTTGAAAGAGCATTGTATTTTTTTTCATTTGAGCAAGTTGTTGTAAGCCCCTTTTTTTTATTTAGTTTGAGCCATTACAGTTGAGATGTACTAAATCGGAAAACAATCATGCCGCATACAAATTTATATATAACAAAAGTTGACAGGGGGCAGCTGCCACCACTCGCCCACGTGTGGATCCGTTGTTGGTATGGCATAGAAAGGGAAAAAAAATCATCGATTAACAAAGTTACACAAATTCTCAGAACCCATGATAGTTCAATGTAATGGTGGCTACAATTAGAAGCCTTTTAGATATTGCACAGAGAGGTTAACGAGATTTTTTTTAAACACACAGCAACTTGTTCCACAAAGCACAAAGGAGAATGGTAAGGATATGTGTCCCATATGCATGTATAATTATTTACAAACACCAAAAAATAAACAATGAACATCAAGAAAAACAGATTAAATAATTTGTTGCTATTTGTTGAAAGCTAGGAACGCAGTGGTATTAAATATTGTAGAAAGATAAGGCCAATACAGTGGTGTTACTGAGATTAACACAACCAAAATGGGAATATTTGCTTAGTGGAAGATTTTTTCCCCCTAACCTATGGAATATATGATCATCAAAATCCAATACAACTATCATTTCCTTTTTCTGTTTATTAGAGTGCGCAACCGATAGAGAGAGTTTTGACTCAGATAGGCTGTATTGAATCCTTCCCGACGGAAGTCTTCTTATTAGTTCCATCTTTTCAATACTCTACATCACATTGTAACACGCTACATCACGAGATGCAACCCTCATGCAACAACGATGTAATACTGTGCAACACATATTTACATCGAAAATGCAACACATACTTAGATCGAAGATGTAACATATTGCATCATGATGCAACAGTACAACACCATTATATCAAAATCTTAACACCTTTACGTAGTTGTTGCATTGTCAACTTAAAATTCTTGCTAAAGTTGTCGCATTGTCGATTTAAAGTGTTGCATTACTGATTTAAAGGCACAAGACAATCGCACAAGAGGATCCTGATTCTAGCCAAGATACCCGTGACATACACATTAAGAAAGATAGTTGAGTTTAGTGATTTTGTAATCAATGGCCTGAGTACATTCTATCGTTTACCAGGGTCTAAATCAGCTTTGTACTTTGTCAGAATTGGTGGAATTAGTAGCTGATTGGGGACTACATTGGTCCAGCCAGCCAAAAGAGTTAGATGATCAGGACTCGGAGATCCTATATTTAGTGTTTGGAAGCAAAGCTCAAAAGAGTGATTCCTAAAGTCATGTGGTCCCCAAATTATTGATTTCAAATGCTTGCATCTGTTCCAAACCGAAAATATATAACATGATGATATAATTAATCCAAATTTCAAATCCAAAATATATCTAATAAAATAATAGTATCAATAGTAACAACAATTATTATTATTATTATTATTACAATAATAATAATAATAATAATAATTTTTAGATGAAATCGTAAATTTTTTAAGTTCTTTGGGTCTATAGGACTCCCTTTTTGGTTTTGGTATTTGTATAGGTCCTGTGCCGTGTTTCCCTTTTGAAGACTTTTTAATACAATTTTATTTATCAAAAAATAATGATAATAAACAATTTTCGTCAGCAACTAAATGGAGTGCAATAGAAATTCTCACATCTAATATACATGTACAGAATACAATATCAGAGTTAAGAATAATTGAACCTAAATGAATTTGATTGTTCACAAACTGAAACTGATAATATCTCTAGAGTTCTGTGTGTTAAAGTTGTACTTAATATCCTATAATGAATTCATTTTTAGGTCCGAATTTCAACATAATATTGTAATTTGCTCTGTTCATAAGGGAATTTAAACTGCCGATCTCAGAATCTGAGATGAAAGTTTTGTCATTACACTACCCATTTGAGAAGTTTTTATCTCGTTGAGATTTTTTTTTTTAAAAATTATTTTTAATTTTTTAAATTCAAAAACATTTTAGCAATAAGCAGGTTTGAAGCAAATGATTAATAACATTTTCTGGGTGAGCGGCTCCAACTTTAACTCCCACCTCTCTCTAACTTTCTCTCTCTAATCCCTTCGTCTTCTTCATCTCTCTACCTCCCTTCCATAAGAATGGGGAGATGATGGTCGCCTCCCACGGCTACAATAAACTCGGCGTGTTTCCATAAGTGCACTCCGTGAGTATTTTTTTTACGTCGTTTTTGTTTTTTTTCGGCTAGATCTATTCATGTTTGATTCGTTTTCGAAACACATAGACGGATTTGTTGTTTCCTTCGACTAGATTTCTGGTTTAGGTCGGTTTTGGTTTTTCTTACCTCGATTTAATCTTTTTTCTCTTGATTTGATCTTGTGCGGGGTTTCTTGTGTGTTGGAGCGCCTTGTGGTTATAGTTTTGGAGTGGTTGCTGTGCTGATGGCCAGACTTTTCGGTCTCTCCAGTTTGTTGCGTTCTCCTATGGTGGTTCCGTTTGCAGAGTGTTGAGCTCTATTTCCTCCACAAATTTGGAGCCTGCTCTTCATTTATTTACTTTGTTTTAAGATTTATATATTTTTTCTGACTTAGTTTTATGATTTTATACTGCCAAATTGGCTTTTATGCTTCTGAATGACAAAAATAAATAAATAAATAAATAAAAAATTAATAACATTCACTCGACCAAATTTGACTCTGGAACACAATTGGGACCCAATTAGTTAAGTAGTCCCTTTAAGATCATATATGTTAATTGTTTGATACTCCGGTAAGCTAAAAAAGCAATCCATGATGAAGCAAAACAACATATTGGATGTGAACTGAGTGACGGATTGAATTAGGGTTATCCTTTGACGTGAACTTTAAAACCGGACATACCTTAAAATCGGACTTCTCAGATTCGATTCTCATCAGATGTAAAAAATATACTTATATTTTTTTTTTTTGCTTTTAGTTATGCATGCCTGTTATCATGAAGTTGAAGCTTCTAGATTGGACGTGACTAGAATCACCACTTTAAATTAGCATTGGGGAGAGTGAATTTCAATATTATCATTTTCAAACATTAAAAGTAGGAGTGTCAAAATGGATCAGGAATCATTGACCCGCTCATATTCGCCCTCTATTTAATGGTTATAGGTGAACCATATTTAGTTAAGAGTCAAGATGAGTTGGGTAATTTTTAACCATTTAATTTGAGAGTCAAGATGGATTGAATATGGTTAATCATATTCAACTCATATTTCACCCATCATATAATAAACACACAACACACATTTATTCTATATTGCACTCAACTCACTTCTCTCTCTAAAATTCTTTCATTCACAATCCTCTCTCTCTCTCTCTCTCTCTCTCTCTACATTTGTCTTTTATCAATTCCCTCTCTCTAAGTTTCTCTCTCGAGAAATTTCTTCTAAAAAAATAAAAAATAAAAAATAAAAAATGATAAAAATATAAATAATAAAAAATATAAAAAATAAAATATATATTTTAAAAAATAAAAAAATTTAAGAATAAATAAAAAAAATTAAAAATTTAAATAATTCAAAAAATAATTTTAAAAAAATAAATTTTTTTTTTAAAAAAAAATTTAACAATAAATAAAAAAATTAAAAAATAAATTTTTTTAAAAAATAATTAAAAAAAATTTTAAAAAATAAATTAAAAAATTAAAAATAAATTTTAAAAACAAATTAAAAATAATAAAAAATTAAAAATAATAATTTTTTTTAAAAATAAAAAATAATTAAAAATAATAATTAATGGGTCTACGGATCATAACGGGTTGACCCTGCCCATTTTCAACCCGTTCAGAAATGGTTAAATATGGGTCTTGACCTATATTGATCCGCCCATTTTCAACCCAACCCAAACCCGACCCAACCCGCCCATTTGCCACCCTTAATTAAAAGTCATGTAATCAAATAATTAGAGTTAATTTCATCTGTTACTTTTTTTTGAACGGGTTAAATATGGGTCTTGACTCATATTGATCCGCCCATTTTCAACCCAACCCAAACCCGATCCAACCCGCCCATTTACCACCCCTAATTAAAAGTCATGTAATCAAATAATTAGAGTTAATTTCATCTGCTACTTTTTTTTAATTTCTTCCATAATTGACGTGTATAGTGTAGACGGCAACCACTTTATGTAAATAATGTCCACGTTGAAAAATATGATAGCTATATATATAATATATTGACGTGTAGTGCTTTTATTTTAATAATAACTTAGGTCCTACTCCAAATTAAAATTGCATATATTTAGTAACCAAAGATAGTTTCAATAGAAAAGTCAAATATTAACACTTGTTTATAAAGTCGAAAAAATCCCATTTTAATCAGCCTTTATTGGTATGATCTCTCGAGTCATCACCAAATCATAGATTAAGTTGGTTTATTGGGACCCATTTTGACAAAAACATAAACCTAAATGTCACACTGTCTTGGTAGCATATCTTTTCTAAAAGAACATACACGCAACAACCTTTATTTTATTTTATTTTTTATTTTTATCACTTCTCACTAAATCAATTAAATTAATCAGTCAATCACTTATTACTTTATAGCTTTTTCCCGCTTTCAACGTAGACATGCCATGCAAATTGAGTCATTGAGTTAGGTAACCTGGCCAAAGCCAATACCTTGAGAGAAAAACTCTATATATACTATTACTTGTTACACTATGTTCACAACACACACATCACACATTGATCTCTCTAGCTCTCTCTCTATTGTTGAATTGTAATACAACAATGGCTTCATTTTCTTCTTTCATGGCCATTGTGACTTTGGCTTTTCTTGTGCTCTTTATTGGGAGCTCTTCAGCTCAACTCTTAACAAATTTTTACTCCAATTCTTGTCCAAATCTTTTTACCACAGTCAAATCTGCAGTGCAATCTGCAATTTCAAAAGAAGCTAGGATGGGGGCTTCTCTTCTTCGCTTATTCTTCCATGACTGTTTTGTTAATGTAATTTTACTTGTTCTCACACTTGCTAGCTACTAATATTTTTATTTTTTTAAGTTACCTAAATGTCACCTAACCCTTTCTAGGTCATGCAATGACAGGAGTCTCGTGCCGTGGGGTTAGTCCTTAACTTACCTAAATGTGTTATGCCACAATAGTCGTCTTAAATTCCATTTTCTTTCCTCAGGGGTGAGATCATTAGGTCAAAGAGTTTATGTTGGGTCACTTTCACAAGTTTAGCCCAACTCGGATTGAAATGTCACTAGTGTTTAGAGTAGATTAGCCTTGTTAAAAGAATATATATATATATATATATATATATATATATATATATATATATATATATATATATACCCTTCTTTTTTCTTTTTTCTTTTTTTTTTTTAAAAAAAAAGAGAGAAGGAATTCTCCTTTTTATTGTTTTTATTATTATTTTTGTGTGTCTCGAACTTCTTAGAATATTTCACAATCCATCACTGAATACTTACAATCCCGTATCTCACATACACCATACAAGTACCCCAAAAATTTTCCTAAGTGAATTTTAATTCCTGACTATTTATTCGTAAGTAAGATGCTGAGCTTATTTGCTTTGCCACCGTTAGTCACAATTGTTTATTGTCTTTTTCCTATTCAGAGTAAACAATGGAGTCACTATCATTATTTGAAGGGGTCATCTTGTTGAATAATATTGGGCAGTTGAAACCTGAAAATGCCCCCCAATAATACCCAATATAAAATTGATGGACCTGAACTTGGCCCAAAGGTTTGGGAAGCGTCAAGATTATAACAGAGATAGGTCTAAAATTATTGACCAAAAAACACAGAGAAAAGGACTAACTGATTCTTAATTTTTATGAGGTCCAATTACTAAACCTTATCTGCTTCTTCTTGACTTTGTCAGGGATGCGATGGATCCATCCTCCTCGACGACACATCTTCCTTCACCGGAGAGAAGAGGGCAGTCCCGTATTTGAACTCCGCTAGGGGATTTGATGTCGTTGACAATATAAAATCCGTTGTTGAAAAGGCATGCCCCGGTGTAGTCTCATGTGCTGATTTATTAGCCATTGCTTCTCGAGACTCTGTTGTTACAGTAAGTCCCCTAGAAATCCAAGTGCTACATCAATTATTGTATTTACGATAGAGCTCTCTTACTAGCATTACTCTCATTAAATCACGTACTTTCTTATGTGATCTAATTTCTAGCTTGGAGGGCCAAGCTGGAATGTCAAGCTCGGAAGAAGAGATGCTAGGACAACAAGCCAGTCTGCTGCCAATAACGGCATTCCTCCTCCAACTTCTAACCTCAATAACCTCATTTCAAGATTCAATTCTCTTGGCCTTTCTACCAAGGACATGGTTGCTTTAGCTGGTTCGTCTTTTATTTATTATTGTGATATTTTAATCTCGAAAGTTCGAACAAACCTCAACAAGTTTCAAATTCTCAACCCTCTTCTATCACTTGAAATGATGCTCATTGATAACGTTATGTGGTCGATTCTCTCTCGAAAGATGTCTTATTCATCTCATACTAAGCAAGTACTATAGTGACAGAACAACTTAACTTTTTAATAAATTGGTTCTTAATGTATCAAATGAATAAGAAACTCAATTAAACTTATCGATTAGATTATTAAGTTTGAATGACATTATTGTCTTTTATAAAACTTGTAGGTTCTCACACCATTGGACAAGCAAGGGGTACTTCATTCAGGGCACGCTTGTACAATGAGACAAACATTGACGCTTCATTAGTTCAGACAAGGCAAGGGAATTGTCCAAGAACCGCAGGCTCAGGGGACAACAATTTGGCACCTCTTGACCTTCAATCTCCCACAGCTTTCGACAACAACTATTACAAGAACCTTGTCAACCGGAGGGGGCTGCTCCACTCCGATCAACAGTTGTTCAACGGCGGATCAGCCGATTCGATTGTGAGATCCTATAGCAACAGCCAGAGCAGCTTCACTTCTGATTTTGCCGCGGCCATGGTTAAAATGGGAGACATCAGCCCCCTCACCGGATCGAATGGAGAGATAAGGAAGAATTGCAGGAAGACTAATTGATGATCAATTAGCTTTGGGATTGATAATAAAATTGATTGGTAGCTCTATTTTGCTTTGATGATGATAGAAATGTGTGTGTTTTGAATTGCGTGTTTTGAGGTCCTTTTCCTTCCTTAGGTACCTATTAAGGGCATGACCATGTCAAAGTAGCTCTATTTTGCTTTGATGATGATAGAAATGTGTGTGTTTTGAATTGTGTGTTTTGAGGTACTTTTACTTCCTTAGGTACCTATTAAGGGCATGACCATGTCAAAGGAAGTGTTGTTGAGTTCTGCTGCTTTTTTAGACTTGGTTGAAAATTCAGATTTTCATTGAAAATCTTAGTAAGATTTTCTGTGAAAATCCTAAATAAACTGAACACTTTTTGTTAGTTATCAATATATGTGACTATGTTTATAGTTTTTCAATATATGTGCCTATGACTTTATTTTAATTTTCAAAATTCAGTCTCAATCATTATCATGGGATTATAGTAAAATCTGACATTCCGAATTGTAAGGGTAAACTGATAAAATAAATAAATAAATAAATAAATAATAATAAATAAATAAATAAATCTATTATATGAAGAATATGCAAATATTCTATGGTGTTTGAAAAATAAAAAATAAAAAAGACTTCTACAATTTCTAATTTGAGCAAATAAAAATATTTTCTCAATTTGAAAACGAAAATACCCTTAAGACAATAAAATAAAAAGCATTTATTTCAAATTTTAAGAATATTTTGAGATTTTTATTAAAAAATATTATCAAAATTGACAATCAATAAATATCAAGAGACAATTCGCACATATTTTGAAATGTTAAAAATCATATGAACTTGTTAAATAGTAGGGTTGTTCTATACATTTTTTTATATAGAGGATAATACTACTAACATTTTTATTTGAAAATAAAGGACAATTATGTCAAACCAAAAACTAATCGGAGAAAAAGTAATCATAGAACTAAAAAAAAAAAAAAAAAAAAAAAAAAAAAAAAAAAAAAAAACACAAAAATTTGTCCATATAAAAAAATAACTTATCAAAAATTGATAAATAAATTATTTTTGTTAAATTTTAATAGTTTTATACATAAATATTTTATTAAGAATAAAAAACTAAAATATATTGTACAAACGGAATCTTAAAGACCGTGTTTGAGTTTCAAGAATTGATCTTCTATCGTTCTACCCATTAAACCCCCAATGGCAAACGAACCTAACCTTATCCCTGTTGATTTGGAATGCGAATCTGCTCAAGTGCACCTCTCACTAGAGCAAATCCAGTGCAGATCTAAGGGCTGAGGTGAAACCATCTTAGCCCATTTGCCACATCATCGTTCAGTCAGCATCTTACACAATAAAGTTACTGATTTATTATTTCATTTACCACATGTACGAATATCCCATACACTTATACTAATACACCATACATTTATACATTATACGTATAAAAATTCTTGATTTATAATTACATTTAACTTTATTTTTTGTTAAAAATTACATTTAACTTTACCTTTGGGTAAAATTACAGAACCCTAATCTCCCTCCTCTTCGTCTTCGTCGTCTAGACCTTCCACTGTTCTTCTTCCTTTCAATCTGTCTCCTGTACTCTCCTCTTCGTCTTCGTCTGAACTTCAAAATTTCAAAATTTAATGGCTAGGTTAAAATCTATAACGAGGAAGAAAGCGACAAAACGTATGTTCCAGTTACCTAAGAAGAAGAAGGCAATGTCTACCAATGACGTAAGAACAAAAACCGTCTCAAATGAAGGACAAACCTCACGTGAAGGACGAAGCAGTGTTGGTATTTTCGGTGGTGAGCAGGATTTGGTGAACGCGCCTCCCACAGTGTTCTTAATGTATATGTAAACATTGATTATGTATCAGTTTTAGGGTTTAGAAATTTATTTCAGATTTTAGGGTTTTGAAATAATTGATTAATTATATAGATTTTAGGGTTTGGAATGGTGAAATTGAGTTTCGGAAGTTAATTTTTTTAACGTGTTAGGAAAATATTGTAATGATATATGCAATTGATACATGATACATGTTTTAAAAAGTTGTGATAATAATAATTTGTTGTTTCCGAATATGAAATCTTTTTACATATACTGAAAGTGTTTGTGGTTGTTATTATTAATTAAGGAATTGTGAAATTGAGTTGTGGAAGTTAATTTTTTGAACTTATTAGGTCAATATGTTGATGCAATATAAATAATAAGTTAATTTTATACATGATACATGTTTAGATAAGTTGTGAGCATAATAAATTGATTTGTTCACTTTTGTATTGTATTGCGTTACAAATAGTAGGTGATGAAATATGCAAATCTTCGTACATATATGTTGAAAGTATTTGTGGTTCTTATTATTAATTTATGAATTGTGAAACTGAGTTGCGGAAGTTAATTGTTTTAACATTTAGAAAAATATGTTGATGTAATATGCAATTCATACATGATACATGTAAAAATAAGTTGTGATAATATGCAATGTATACATGAAGGGCTGACTGCATTAGAAAGTATCGGACAGAGCACTCAAAACATGACAGGTTACTGAAGGCAGTGATGCATTTGGTGCACAAACGTGCTAGATAGACATGGAATGCAATGTCTGCCGCTAAGAAAGAGCCATGGATCAGAGAACGTAGAAGACGACATGAAGAGTACAGCAAGCTTCCTGAAGAAAGAAAGGCTCCAAAAAAAGAAAGGGTAATTAAATTTTAATGTAAATATTTTATTTGATGACCAAACCTAGAATGTATGCATAATGTGCTGTAATCATATGCCTTTGAAGTAGAAGAAAAAGGAAAAGATCAATCCCACCCAAGGTGCGTGGCACAGGTGCTCTCTTTCCAAGTTCCACGAAGTAGTGTCACAGCTTGATGAGGAAAAGATAAAGGTTGTTGAGGAGCTTGGTTTTGAAAAATTGCTGGAACATAAATGTTCTTTTTTGTCCCGGGAGTTATGTATGTATTTAATTAAAAATTTTGACTCTGAAAAATGTTGTATAAAAGTTGAAGAGATAGGCTATATACCCATCCATTCAGCTGATAGCCACTCCATCTTTGATATACCATTTGGTGTTCCAAAAGTGCTGAAAAATGATCATTTTTTTAATTCTAAGTGGATAAATGAAGGTGGTTACAAGGAAGCTGGTGGAATGCACCAAGATGTATTGTTAGAGCAAGTTTTAACGATAAAGGGAGTGGATGAATTCAAGCGAGCATTTGTGCTCTTTGCTTATAGTAATGTACTCAATCCCACCGGTCGTAATAATTGTCATTAGGGCTTGTTGAAAACTGTGGATGATGTGAATGCAATTAGCACTTACAACTGGTGCAGATATGTCTGTGATTGTTTGGTGAGAACCCTAGAACCATCTGCAGACATCAAGCTGAAAAAGTCATACGGTGGCTGTATGATTTTTTTGCAAGTATCCTTGGTTATGATTTTTATAAATTTGCCTTTAAAATGTGTGTGAATTACATATTAATTTTATGAAACATAATTAATATTTACTTTAATTTTTGGTCTTTTAAATCAGTTGCTTTATTTGATGCATTGTGATACTCAATACCGAGCTTATCCTGAGGGAGATATGAAAAGTTTTGGTTTTTGGACATCAGAGGTTGTACGATCATGCATTAGATGGGAGATGGGTAATGGAGGTTTTGGACATGGACAGGTAATTATTTTTGTTATGTATGGACAGGTATATTTACGAAAAGTATTTTGTATTGTTGAAAATAGTTATATATATATATATATATATATATATATATATATATATATATATTATAATTTGATGATAGACTAGTGTTATTTAAATATGAAATGGAAAAAGTTGATCCCTCTGAAGCCGAAAACATGTAGCAGCAGCAGCAGTGGTAATGATGTGGCAGCCGAATATAGTTTCAACCCTTGTTTAAACATGGATTTTGATGATTATCATTTTTCTAACTCGGATGTGGAGGTAATTATGTTGTAAAATACATTTTCTCTATTTACAGGATATATTTGAAAAAGTTATGTGAACTAATTATCCTTATTTTATGCAGAGTTGCATAAGTAAAGTGCGAATGCACATACAAATGTCTGAATTTAATGTATTAAAATCCAAAAAAAGTCTATTAAAAATGTTGTCTGCCTTCAAGAAGTGGGACATGCAAAAAAAAAAAAAAAAAAGCAAGACTGTCAAGGGACAACAAAGAGAAGAATGATGGGTTGGGTAAGCAACCAAGTGATGCAGATGGTAATGATGATGATGGTGACCGTGTTGAGGAATCAGGTGGGGATGAAGTTGAGGATGAAGAAGTTGAGAATGAAGAAAGTGAGGATGATGAAGTTGAGGATGAAGAAAGTGATGGTGAGAATAAGGAAGCTGATGATGAAGAAAGTGATAAAGACTCTGCCGATGGCAATGAGGCCAATGAGGAAGGTGAGGATGAAAAAAATAATAGAGAGTCTGGCAATGGCAATGAAAGAAGCGAAGATCAAGAAAGTGATCGAAGAAGTGAGGAGTGTGTAATGATGATGATGAGCAGGAGCAGGGTGAAAAGAATGAGAGTTGTTCTAGTCCAACTCACAGTGTTTTACTAAGTGCCGAGGAAAATAATGACTTGAATGCTTCTGTTGCGGCCACTTGTCGAGATAGTCAGTTAAGTTCGGACCACATTGAGTTAACAAAGAATGAAGGACTTGTAAAGGTTACAAGGGGGAAAAGGAAATTAAAGCGCTACGAATATGCTTACGCTCCCTATGTAAAGAAAAAGAATAAAATGGTTCATCTCACCAAGGAACAGAAAATGCTATTAACATATGTGGGAAAACTTGATGGAGAGAAATTGTAAGTTTTTTAATGCACACTTGTCATCTTCTGCATTACATATGTTTGTGTTTAAATAATTATTGCATGTGTTTATATGTAATGTGTGAGTATAATAATTAATTTACAAGTCTTGTCCTTAATTGTCCCATCAATGAAATAATCGTTTCCATGTTTGGTCGCACTATAAGTCGTCATCAGATTCAAACTGTATTCCATGATTAGTGGTTGTCCGATGATGTGAGTTTAATGAATTTATTACATTACTATTGCATAGTTATGGTTGTTGATGGTATAAAAATTGAATGTATCTAAATGAAATGTATTTATTGAAAGGTGATTAATTTCTTTGGGAATATACTAAACATGGAGGAAGGACCTGGTAGGGAAAAGTATTGCTTTAATAGTAGAGTGGTACAGTTCATTATTGATTTCAATGTAATGAAGATAAAGACTAAAGCTGGATGCTAGCCTGTCTTACAGCAAGTCTAGTCAAAATACAAGAAGGATTCTAAGATGAGTTTTCTTCCACGTCCCACGCAAGCGCAGATGGTGAGTATGTCTTT